GGGTGGCAAAGAGCAGAAAATTACAAATCTATTAGGAGTCTATTCTATAAATGCCAATTGTATCCTTGCGTTTGTTTTAAGAGATGTTAGTTCTCAAAAAAAATAACCAAATTTTAATTACCTTACAATTGGTTTAATAAAAACTTTGTAAATCCAACAGCAATGGTTTTATAATTCATACTTTTTAAATTCGGCATTTTTCTTAAGTTATTTAGACTCTTTTCTTAAAAACTTTTATAATTCGTAAAATATTTATATATTTTTGTTTTATTCGCCAGAACGCTCAATTATCTTTCTCTGGTTCTATTCAGTTGGAATGCTGAGAAGCGATTGATGGCCATTGGATGGTAAAATCCCGTTCCAAAAGGACATCCGGCAACCTATCAGTTTTCATTGTCACGGAGCGCTGATTAAAAGTCGCTTCCGCTGCTCTAAAAACAAACGCACCAAGAGACGCATATCCCGCAGAGGAGTCCTCAAATCCTCGCCACTTCTGCCTGCAGATGGCCATTATCCTTTGCGTTGAGGCCAAGCTAAGGGCCAACTAAACAGACGTCAAAATTATTGCCATTACACGGGGGGCTAGGAGTCGGACAGAAACTGGCAGTTGGATTTCAGTTCAAGGGGGAAAATCAGACCAGCATGCAATGAATGGACGTCCCACGTCCCACCTCCCACACCCCTCCCACACATCTCCCGATTGCCCAGCGTGATGGTCAACTGTCCCGCCTTAACCCGTCAGCCGCATGCCTGTCCGCGGAAAAAATACTAGAAAGGGGATTTGAACGGAAAAAGGAGCGTGGGACTGGGCGGCGAATGTGAAAAGCGTCGCCGGTTCGAGCTCAAGTAGCTTGTGTGCCATTTTTTCCATTTCGCTCATCGTTTTTGTTTTCAACTTTTGCTCTATTTCCGCCATCGCCGCCGCTGTCTGGCTGACGTTTTAGCGCGGTCTGTTAGCGGCGGTAAATTGGGGGAGGCGATCTGGGAGCCAATGCGGTTGTCAGTTGCTCTATGAGACGCCTCCGATAGTCCATGCTGGGCCCTTTGTGTCGACATTCTGCATGCAAAGTGAAAATGTTGTCGCTGTTTAATGTCAAGTGCAGACTTTTTTCGTGGCCACTCCAAAGACCATTCGCTAGGACAATTGCAGACGTTTTCATGCCCGTCCAGGCTGAAGTACCGGGAAGATTTCGTTCGAACAAACTTTCTTGAGGGATTTGACAGTGTAAGCTCCAATTGCTGGTTGCTTAAAGTCCTTGAAGTCTAAGATTGCACATTCGGGAATTAATGTCTTCTATCTTGACAATAAATGATCTCCAAAAACAAATAAATTGATGACACAGCATTGGAGAAACTCGAAACAGAATCGAATCTGATAAATCTTTCCGAGAATTATCATATCATAAAGGCAGTATACAATACATTTCGCATAATAAGAACATCGTCTCTAACCAAAAGTTTCCTGCCCACTCAACTTTCGTTTATGGCCAGGAAATCTTTGTTTATTGAGATCAACGTTTTTAATGGTATTGCAAGTTACAACATGGATAGAACATTCTGGATACATGATTATGGAATTTTTGGCATTTAATTTTAAGAAAAGAAAAACTGCCTAAAGCTAACAACCTTTTTTAAATAAAAACCAAATCTCTAGCAAAAGACAAAGCCAATTTTTCATAACATATTCGATCCAGAAATCATCTTTCTAACTCTCTTAAGATTATTAGCATTACTAACAACTCAAATAAAATTATCCACACACCTCAAAACTAAATTTGTTTTAATAAAATTATAATTAAACAGGACTCAGGTAGGTGGTTATATATATATTTTTTTAATAATGGGCGCTACTCTTAAGTATTAGGTTAGAAACGTTAAATTAACAAATCAATAAATAAGTATGCAGTGGAAAGGTTTTTTGAGACAGTAACGTTTAGATGGTATTTTACAATTTATCGAATTGATTTCAAGGGTAGTTTTCTTTGGGTATTGATGATTTTATAACGTGAGCCACGCCAGTCGAAAAGTATCATAGAATCACTTGTAAACCTAATAAACCAATATAAATTTGAACGAATTTATAATTTATAAAGAGTACTGTAACGTGAAAAAGTAATGAAGGAAGAGTTTTCGACCCTGTTCTATTTATCTGAAGTTAGGCGTCAACCAGTATTCAGGATTATGTTCCCCAACGAATAAGGGTCGGATATGCACTGGTGGGAATCTGAAGATACAAATGTAAAGGGTTTCTGGCTGAGAGCGACAAGCTCAAATGGATAAAAATTGTTTTTTGTTTGCAATCTTATTACATTTATGCAATCATACGCTAGCTGATTTTTCTGGTTTATCTATTTCATTTGGTTGTGCCGTTAACCCTTTGGTATCTTCAACCAATCGACTTGTGTAGAAGGAGGCTATCTTCCCGTTCGCATTAATCAAGGATAGGGATTTTACATTTAATTAATTTTTTCGTTTCAGGTTAACCGTTGTACAGTGGTCCTTTTTCAAAATTGTAAGTGACAAAAAAGTAAAAAACTTCTGACCGAACCAATAATCGATTTGCAATATAAAAGCACATTGTCCTCTCCTCGTTTTAATTTTTCTACCAGAGCTTAAAATGGTTACTCTAATTAATTTAACTTAACTAAAATTACATGCGTTATTAAAAATAAGAATTGTTTTTTAGAGTCGGAAAACAGCAAAACAAAACTTAAAGAACCAGTAACGTATAATTTCATAATTAAATTTATTATTACATGTATAAAAAGTTTACATCTTAACTTTGTTGGGTTCATTGGTCAACTCATTTAAAGTACAGTGTTAATTTTGTTAGGAATAAAAAAATGTTCGTAAATTTTTTTCCATTTCATTATATTATTGTTATATATTTTGATGTTGTTAATTATTTTAATTACATTTTGGGAAAAAGGACAACAACAAATTTTTGATGGTGCCTTAGCGATAGTCACAAATTACAACTCAAAACCTCTTTCCCGATTAAAATATTTAATTGGCTGTGAATCAATTTGTTTTTACAATACTGTCTAGTGTTATAAATATAATACAATATTTTAGCATTAAAATAGGTAAATTATTAATTTATGAAGAGCATCACTTGGCTATATAAAAATTAAATAATATTATTGTAACCCATTATTTTCAAACGGTCCACTGTACAAGTGTTTTTTTTTACTATTTACGATCTCATTTGGGTTGTTTACATTGCATTCCATTTTTCCGGCCAAAAATTAAAAACGCATATTTTTCGAAACAGGACAGTTTGGGCTTCTGGTTCTCCTGTTCTTTTTTTTTTGTCCCAAACAGATTTTAATATGTAAATAATACACAAATGTTCCATACACACATATTCATTGTGTACACATATGCATGGTGTACTCATATGCAGAGGTGTATATATTAACGCTATGGAACCAGGCCCAACTCAGTAAAACCTTCAGTTTTATTATTTTTTTGTGGCACGTGTGGCTATAGCTGTGTGCCTGCCTGTGTGAGTTTTTGCATGTATTACGCCCTTTTCGGACACTGCATTTTTAATATAATTTTTTACCGCCCCTCCTCCGTCTCCCACTCCACCCCAATATTTCCCCCATTCGCAATTTTTTCTGGATTTTTTTCCCAGTCTTGTTGTTATTATTCTTCCACGCCCTTTCCACTGACAACCTTGTTTGCAGTGGGCGTGCATATGTATATGTACTTATTTTCCATTTTTTTCCTATGTGGCCATGATTTTATTTCATTGGGGGTTGGTATCCGCCCATTTTCAACTGTCCGGTTTGCAGGTGGTCCTGCCGCTTCATGAGCGAGAAATGCTGTGGTGTTCTGTTATACCCTTCTTTTTGGAAAGTGAAAGGGTTATTATATATCAGATAGATTGAAATGCTTCTAACCTCCATAATCAACTGTAGTGACAAGTTAGACACCTTTGCTTTAAAGTAAGTCTAAGACACAAAATGATCGACCAGGCTTCACCTAACTCATATATTTTACGTAAGAGCCCATCTGGATATTCAGCGTTGAAATCGCTCACTCAACTCTAAAAAACCAAGGCCATATAATGTTTTTATTCTATTAAAATTTAAACGCATGCGAAACAATTCAGTCTCTCATTTTACATTACATAAAAAATAACTTTTGCGCTAATGAAGAATGAGACGACTAAAAACACAAAGAAATCGATTAACTATTTATAAGAAATTCAATAGGACTGCGTTAAATTTTTCAAAAAATGTTTCTTAACAAAACGGATAAATTTCAAATTTAAAACTGAATTTCTATAAAGCTGGTAAACTTTAAATAAACAAATTATGAATTAGAAAAGGATCCATCTTTTAAAAAATGTATTATGTTTCTCTAAGCTGGTTTGAATTTTGATAAAGGTTTGAGGCGTATCGTCGCAACCAATCTTAAAAGTAGTTTTCCTGTTGTATCAGGCTAAATCGGAAATATCCAGTTCGATATCCATAATTTTTAAATGCTATATGATATGAAGGGTAACCTTTGTTCAAATACAACATATACATACAACATATTTTCAATGACGAGGCGGACTGTAAGTGAATCCAGGCTCAATCGTCACTCGTAGAGTCATCCGACAGAGTGAAATTATGTTTTTGCAGTAATTCATACATTTGTCATACTTTTTTTTACGCATAAGAGTGTTTAAATGAATTTGTTTCCCGGTCGGGCATAATATGGGCTTTAAGTGTTTTTAATAAATTCAAAATATAAATTTTAAATGACATAATATTTTAATTAAAATGAAGTGGGGTTTGAAAAATGTTAAGGGTAACCACAACCCCTTGTGATAGAGATATATGTGAACAGATATTTTACTTAAATAAATGAGAAAGAAAGATAAGAGTAAATTGACATTTTCAATTAAACTGAAGACTTACAAATTATTATTTATTTAACTTAATTTTTTTTTTTTTTTGATAAATAAAATACAATTTTTAGTTTTTGATTTTTTTGTTGCACACCATTTGTGTTGATGTAGAAATTGTCCAAGTTAATATTATCCTTGCGCTTTCAACCAAAAATGGATTTCTTTAATAAAAGTATTCTTATTTAATATCGAGAACTTTACTGTTTATCGCGCAACACATTCCAACCTTTCCTTAAGTTTGGACGTGTAAGTTGGGCTATAATATGTCACTACCCAACAGGTGACTGCGTTATTTTTTTGTTTAACCAAATTTGCAGGTGTTGTAGTTGATTGCTACGTAGACTCTTGAAGTGCCTCAAATACAAACCTATCTCACGCCACAAACATCTTAAAACATGGACCCTCACAAAATGTGCTTACCTATAATATTTATTTATATAAACTTTTTAATTTTGTTTGTAGGCGACCTTTGATGTATATTTACATTTTTTGAGTTTTTCCGGCTCGAGGTCAACTTTTTATATAAATAACATATTTTATGTATACATATATAGCAAATAAATATATGTGTATATATATAATATCGCTTAAGTCAGGTAAGATTCATAAAATGAAACATTGCACCGCCCACTTAATTCCGCAAGTTTTGCGGAAGTGGAAGTGACATGATCGGATTTCAAATTGTTGTCGATGTCTTATAAGTCCAAAAGTTTCACAAAAATAATTTTTTTATGCTCGAGAGATCTTTCGGTGCCCAAACATAGAATTTTCATCTGTGTATACCCGACCGGGGACCCGCTTAAATATATCACGTGACAGCTCAACCAAGTAACTCAACCCGCACCCGCTCCCAGGTGACCCTCAACTCGGCCTGACCACAAAGTAAGGCTGCTCCGAACTGGGGCAGACGACCCGCTCGAACAGTTCAGGGACTTTTGAAGGTCGCGGCTTCTGGTCGCCGGGCAGGAGCATGCTGTTCCACAGCAGGTTCGAGATGATCGCGTGGCCGCGCTGGCTGAAGTGGAAGCAGTCGTGGGAGAAGAACCGCCAGTCCGTGTTGCCATCGGGCAGCGTGGGCGCCGTCATGTTGCTCAGCAGCGGATGGGCGACGATGGCGAAGTCCTCGCGATGGAACTCGGGCAGCCGGGCGATCTCCATGTCCAGCCGCTGCCACCGGATCAAGGTCTGCCTGCGCTCCAATAACTGGGTCCTATTGAGGCGGTCATTGATCAGGCAGTGGCACCCCACGCGGTGCACCACGAAGCACTGCAGCGGCACCTGGGTCATGGTGCTCAGCACCAGGGGTATGTTCGGCACCACGATCAGGTTGATCAGGAGGCGGGGCACGTGGTCGCGCAACAGCCGGAAGGCCTGGCGCAGATCGCGGGCATGCTGGTCGAGGAAGCCCTGCGGACTGTCCCAGTGGCACAGGTCCGAGCAGATGTCGTTGTTGCCCACGTACACGGTCAGCAGCTTCCAGTGGCGCTTCATGTCCACATTGGGATCGCGCCGCAGCAGATCGATCAGAACGCGGGCCTGGAAGGGCAGATCCCGCGACATGATCATCGGCTCGGCGATGTTCAGCCGGGAGGATCGGTGGTTGATCACCAGACTGTTGCTCACCGCGAAGCCGTACAGCTTTGGATTGAAGACCTTCAGGATGTTGGGCAGGGTCACGAACCTTCGCCAGTCGGCCAGACCGCCGCCCGAGAAGGTCAGACCCCGGAACTCGTTGATCATGTCTATGGCGTTGTTCGATAGAATCCCGTTGCCCGCCGACAGTGAGTCCCCGAAGGCAGCTATAATGTCAATGTCCCCCGGCCTCAGCCGCTCAATGGAAGTGGGGGGACTTGGGGATCGTGTATTGTTCGTGGGGCACATAAAGGGAACTTTCTTGGGCACCGGACTCTGCAACTTTCCCTCGCGCCTGCCGCGGCTGCTGAGTGCCTCGATGTTGTTGAGAGCCCATCGCAACGTGGTTTGCCTGGTGTTGAGGAACAGGTGTCGCAGATCCTGATCGATGTGGGTGTACTGCTGGATGCCGTTTTCCAGCACACGGGGATTGTAGGACTGGGCACGCACTCCGATGTCGGCCAACAGTTGATCGGATCGATTTTGTCGCCGTATGCGACGCTTTGCAGATGTAGGTGTCGAAAGCAGCAAGAGCAATGAGCACAGGCATAATATGTAATTAATATTTCCCATGTTGCCTTATTCTTCAGTGTCCAAATACAAGTCTCAGTACATGATTTGTTCCAGGACTTCAGGTAAAGTTCTTATCCGTTCCGATTGAAAGCGAAAGCAAGCTCACACACCAGACGAACTTCTGAACGCGTTCTCATCCGACAGGCAAATGCGGCGGTCGTTTTTAATGCCCGCCACAAACTTTATAAATTCACAGGCCGGATCCCCTCACAACTCTGCTCGCAAATCGCTCTCAAACTCATTTCTTTCCATTAAAGCCAACAACAAACCACACACGATCGCTGAGGACGGGGACGGGATAGGGACAGAGCTCAGAACTTGACTTAAAAGCGTTGACCGAGACATTAACAACCATAAAAATGACAGAGCGGCCTGATAGCACCAGCCTCTGGCTTCGGCTCAAAAAATACAGAGTGCCCTGCGGTTCAAAGATGTTGGCAAAAACAACAACGAAATGCCCTAAACAAAATACAGTTTAGTGTATGAAATAATTACCTTGTGGCAGAACATGGATGCTACCAAAACATGCCGAGAAAACGCACATTTGTATGTGTATACAGAAAAATGAAACAATAAATATAATTTAATTGATGCTATAGAGGGGCTGGCCCGAGCAGAGGCGTCGACTTTGAGCTTGGGATCTTTAAGCGAACCCGATGAGTACACTTTCCAGACCAGCATTAAAAATCCGGTCATTGAGTACAATATTTCGGGAGTTTTCAGTACATCTAAACATATACGGAGATATAATTTTACAGATGCGTAACCCACGAGTTACGCCCAATTTAAATGCAAGTATTACGGTGTTCTTCCCCTTGTATAATTATTACCCATCCAAAAATCTAAATTGTTTTTATATAATTTATTTCGTAGTGAAATAAAGTTAAAATAAAATTATCCTATAGGAGCAATCAACATATACTTATAAGGGTAATAATATTTTAGTATATATTTAAGGCGATAATAGTATATATTTTGCGTCGTTGAAAGTTTAAGTTTTTCGGACTTGGTCCATGCTCGTTCAGAAATAGTGGCGCCTTAGAGCTCCATCTCTCCATGCATTCATGATTTAAAGCAAGGAAAACATAAACAAAAAATCTCAAAATATTTGCACATTAAACTTAAGTAAGTTTGTAATGTAATTGTTGCTCGAAATGCTTAAAATGTTAATAGCTAATTGTTTGTTTAGACTTCTCAAAAAGAGTCATGAGACTTGAGTGCTATGCGAAAACATATCCGTTTTGTCGAACTTGATAGCGGTTATTGCCCACACAACCAACAATTTAAATAAAATATTATTAAGTAAAGTGATCTATAAATATATGGTGTGGCTCTCATAAGTTGACTCATGTCAGGTCTTGTTTTTTGAGGCGTGTTTTTTGAAGGCTGTACACACAGTTTGCGGCTTTCCAACTGCAAGGGGCCTGAACGTGTTGGAATTTTACTCTGCGGTTCCGTCTTCCGCCCGACGCCCCTTCCCCTTTTCTTCAACGGGTTCTGTGAAACGATCCTCTTTGTTGGGACAGGCCTTATCCTGGATTGGAAGTGTATTAAACTAGTCCTACTAACTTTTCACTCTATATTTACACAAGAACGGAAAAAAGCCTTGTCATGTTTTTATACCCCTGCAGAAAACTATTATATTTCGATTTGTATGCTTTTACTTAACGAGGACGGAAGCTAACTTCGGCAAGCCGAAGTTTTAATACCCTTTCCGACGTTTGCCGAAATTGCTAAAATTGTAAAAGTAGCGAAAGGAATAAGGTATACATAAATAATCTAGATTTGCAGAGTTTCATGTCAATTGCTTTTATACTGCAACAAGAAAGGAAAGCTAACTTCGGACGGAGCCGAAGTTGATATACCCTTGCAGAATATTTTGTAAATTATATTCTTCAAAATTATTCATTTGATGCATTCTTAATACTCATAAAAAGTCCCAATTTCCTAATTTTAAAAACACCAAAGTTATGGCATTTTCAATCGTTCAGTTATATGACAGCTATAAGATATAGTCGGCCGATCATTATGAAATTTTGTATGTCGGATTGATTGGCCAAAAATAAAACCCATAGAAAATCCCAACTTCTTAACTTTACAAACACCAAAGTTATGGCACTTCCGATCAATCAGTTATATGGCGGCTATAGGATATAGTCGTCTGATCCTTATGAAATTCGGTATGTCGGATTGATTGGCCAAAAATAAAACCCATAGAAAATCCCAACTTCTTAACTTTACAAACACCAAAGTTATGGCTTTTCCGATCGTTCAGTTATATGGCAGCTATATGATATAGTCGCCCGATTCGGCTCGTTCCGACTTATATACTACCTGCAATAGAAAAACAACTTTTGGGAAAGTTTCAAGCAGATAGCTTTAAAACTGAGGGACTAGTGTGCGTAGAAACGGACGGACGGACAGACGGACGGACAGACGGACAGACGGACATGGCTAGATCGACTCTCGTGGTGATGCTGATCAAGAATATATATACTTTATAGGGTCGGAAATGTCTCCTTCACTGCGTTGCAAACTTTTGACTGAAATTATAATACCCTCTGCAAGGGTATAAAAATGTCATACAAAAATAGAAAAAAAGGGTTGTTTTCGCAGCCTTTAACAATTTTTCCTACGGAAGCTTTAAGATATAGACGTCCGATCGGCACGCGCTTTTAACCTGATCAAGGTATGCATAAAAAAATACGATTTGAAAAGATTCATGTCAATAGCTTATATACTGCGCGAAATATCCTAAAAATTATTAAATTTTAACCGATTCCACCCTATTGTTCCTATAGGAGCTATAGGATATAGACGTCCGATCGCTACTCGCTTTAACCCTGATCAAGGTATGCATAAAAAATAAGATTTGGAAAGATTTTTGTCAATAGCTTTTACACTGCGCGAAATATCTTCCATTCTTTCAAGGTTTATCCGATTGTTCCTATGGGAGCTATAGGATATAGACATCCGATCGGGGCGGTTTTCAAACTTGATCTGCGTACAAATGTTTTAGGATGATTGTGAAAGTTTCAGATCGCTTTTTACCTGAGCTCGCAAACGGTATTGAAACAGACGGACAGACGGACATGGCTATATCGACTCCCCTATTGATCCTGATCAAGAATATATATATTTTATGAGGTCGGAAACGTCTCCTTTACTGCGTTACAAACTTCTGACCAAAATTATAATACCCTCTGCAAGGGTATAAAAACAATAAAGCTAAGTCGATTTTCAGATAAAATGTTGGATCATTCATTTCTGAAAAATTCAAATAGTTTCAAAATTTCCAGGCTTGTTATACCCGTTACTCGTAGAGTAAAAGGGTATATTGTATTCATGCAAAAGTATGTAACAGGTAGAAGGAAGCGTTTCCGACCCTATAAAGTATATATATTCTTGTTCAGGATCACTAGCCGAGTCGATCTAGCCATGTCCGTCTGTCCGTCTCTCCGTCTGTCTGTCCGCAATGCAATAGCGCCATCTAACGGATGACTTTGGAACAGCTGGTCAAGAGTCAACGTTAATTCTCGATAAGGATTTCTATTAAAGGAAATTGCGATGGTTTTCATTTGTCAATACCGAACTATATCCCAAGTACTATGCAAATCAAATCAAGTTAGCCAAATTGGAGGTCTGAGTCAAACAATGGCGTATGTGTGTATGCTGGTGCAGGACAAAAGCTGCCTGCGCTAAAGCAGCGCTGGTGCTGATGCTCATGCTGTAAAGCTGACAGCTCTAAGAGATCGCCGAATTCAAATCGATAATTTGATATTTTTTAACTGAGTAACGGGTATCTAATAGTCGAGGCACTCGACTAAAGCGTTCTCTCTTGTTTTAGTTTTCACGTCTTGAAAAACCGGAATCTTTGTTCTCTCTGTTAATTCTCTTTGAACTTCCGAAAGAACCTCACGAATTTCCGCCAAGCATTGGCTGTCGCATTTCATTTCGCCAGCAAAGAAATGAATTATTCTAAAATACTTTAGATAACTTTATTGAAAGTAAAATTTTGATCAAGTCCATTGATGCTTTAGGAGCATTATTGCGTTTTCAGATTTATTAAGAATTACATATTTGATTTATTAATTAAGTGCTTACGCTTAAGAAACTGGTGATAAAGGTTTATATTCTTGATCAGCATTACTACGAGATTCGATCTAAACATGTCAGTCTGTCCGGTTGTCCGGCCATCCGACTACCCGTCTGTCCGTTTCTACGCAAACTAGCCTCAGTTTTATTGCCTTGCTACTACAAGGGTATAAAAACTTCGGCTTGCCGAAGTTTGCTTCTTTACTTGTTCTTTATTATACCCTTGCAGAGCGTATTATAATTTTGGCCAACAGTGTGCAACGCAGTGAAGGAGACATCTCCGACCCTATAAAGTATATATATTCTTGATCAGGATCGCGTCCTGAGTTGATATAAGCATGTCCGTCTGTCTGTTTCTACGCGAACTAGTCTCTCAGTATTAAAGCTATCGAATTGAAACTTTGCACACACCCTTCTTTCCTTTGCACGCAGTATATAAGTCGGATCGGCCGGGATCGGCCGACTATATCCTATAGCTGCCATATAACTATCGGAAATGCCATAACTTTGTGTTTTTAAAGTTAGGAAGTTGGGATTTTCTATGGGTTTTATTTTTGGCCAATCAATCCGACCTACCAAATTTCATAAGGATCGGCCGAATATATCCTATAGCTGCAATATAACTGAACAATTGGAAATGCCATAACTTTGGTGTTTTTAAAGTTACGAAGTTGGGATTTTTTAAGACTTTTAAGAATGCAACATATGAATAATTTTGTTGAATATAATTCACAGAATATTCTGCAAGGGTATATCAACATCGGCTCCGCCCGAAGCTAGCTTTCCTTTCTTGTTTTTTTATTTTTATCGCTTATGTTTCAAAACATTTATCAAGTTTTCTTGATGAATTTATTAGTTAATAAGCTATGCTAGAAAGAGCTAAAGTGGTTTTATTTTTAATAATTTGTTTTAAACATAAAATTCCATAAATTGACCTTTTTTGTGCTATTTTAAAATATTCACCTTTGTCCCCATTAACAAATTTAAACTTTTTGCACAGGCATTTTTTATTGCAGCGTCTCGAAGAAGAACTTTTTAAAAAGTTAAGGCTTTTAGGAACTATAAGCGGTTTTAAAAAACTAGCGGTGTTTTCAAAAAGTCGTAACACCAACGTTTCTTATATCAAGCTGTTAAACAAAGATAAAATGATTCCTGAACCCTAAGTCCTCGATTTGATGCATACGTACTACAATTTTTTTCATTTAAAAAAAATTATTTGGGTATTATTTGAGCGTATTTTTATTCTGCCCCACCGGCCTCAACAGA